AGTGATCAAATAGCATAGAAAAATAGAGCGAAAGACGCTCTATCTATTCATAAAAAAAGAAAATTTTTTCAAGCTTTCTATAAGAAAAAATAGTACCTCGCTCACTACTTTTGGATCGCCCTACGTATTTGCGAATCGGGCTCAGATAACTCACTTGTCATATTATTGAGATCATCATGGAATTCAAGTAATACAACGAGATCTTCTGAGTCATCCATCTCGCTTTGGTCATCGAAAGTAAAAGTTTTCGGTATATGGACCGAGTCGATATTGTCACCCGCTACGTTTATTTGCTCACTAACTTGTATTAACTGCTCGTCCCGATCTTTTCTATACTCATGTAGTAGCTGAATATAGTTAATTATTGTTTTTAACAATGGTAGAAAAGAGCCAGCCTTCAGTTTTAATGATTGTTCCCACGTTAGATCAGCTTGACATAAGTCATCGACGCTTTTCCAGGTAGAAGCAATGTCAAAATGGCACGAGCATATCGTTCTTTCATTTCTTCTCGATCTTTTCGAAAGATTCGGGGCCTAGTCAGAACGGGTACAACATTATCTGTACGCTGAATCAAGATGTGAGATTCGTATTGTAGATGACCTTCTTTCAATTTCAATCTTCGATTTGGTTGTTGACCACGTCTTTTGAGATTGTTTACTTTTTGTTGATTGTCGAAGCATGTTTTGTCCGTTTTAGCAACTTTTTTCTTATGGTGCATACGAACAAAATCGTATAAACAAGTAACGGCTATTTCACTCGGACGATATTAATAATCAATTCGGTTGTTCACTAACCCATAGTTGTTCGGAACGTTGGTCTGTCCTATTGAAAATTGTTCATTAAGATCATTCGTTTCCATCTCTTTCGCATTTAGCTTTTCCTTTGTGTATGTTTTGTCCCTTGTTGAATTATTTTTGTAAAAAATTTCTTTTGTTAAGAGGGATAACTGCTTACTGTTTGCGATAGTATCTTCGAAATTCCGTTTTCGTGCAAGCATTTCGAAATAACTTTCAATACCGATGAGGAATACGTTTTCAAATTTGTAGGATGTATAATGATCGGGCCAGTTTATGAGATTTTTAATTTAGTACGGTGTCAGTGGAAAAATCGTATTTTCTGAAAAATTGGTCTTTTGCACTTTTCCTAACCATTTCAAATTCTCATCTAATTTTTTAATGAATTTAAAAAGGTATACTGAGTAAAATGGAACTAGAATCCACATAATGCTGTTTCCAATTAAAAACCATATGAACAATTAAAGAAACAATATTAAAAGAAAGAGATGACCATATCAAAAATGTGAGTTTATTACGTCTTCCAGTCGTGTTTGAATTTCGTTTCGTTTCTGTTCTGTTAAAGCTATAATAGCCAGAGCAACTCGAAAACGTTGATCGGTATTTTCTTCATGCAATGATAACGGTGGCTGTGGACAATTTAATATTATAACACCTTCGAGATTATTGCTGGTGAATAATGGAACGTGGTTTTGAATTAATATTTGAGTTAAATGTGTTGTTTTTAATGATAATACGGATGATTTTTTAACATTGACAATTGTATGATCATTTGAGATGATACACGGTAATCGACAATGTTCTAAAATAAATTGTCGCATTTTATTATGTCCTATGACGGTCATCAGTATTGGACAGACACCAGTAAATCTTGGATTTTCTTCTGATATACCCATTCGTAATTCATGTCTATTATCTAAATACATAAATGTATCAATTGATCCATAACCACGTCGACCCATTTGTTGTTCGTGTTGAGCTAATCGAATAGCTAGTGTTAATAGACGTTGATGATGTTGATCAAAATATGTTTTGATATCTGATGTAAAACAATTTAATGATATATCAATACCATAGTATCCACCATTTTGATCGAGACGTTGATTACCAACAATAAACGCACTAACACCATTATCAGTTAAAATAATTCCAATAGATGGATTTGGTGGTTGTTGATTTTTATACTCATAATATGGCGCAATAATCATATCGACATTTTTCTTTTTGATAAATGAACCGATTTCGTCAAGTGTATTAAATGTCAAGTTGTTATTTATTTTATATATCTGTTCATCTTTTGACACTAAATAACTTCCAATACCACCGGCTGAAAAATCTTCTTGAATAAATAACAGGGGATATTGTTTTTGTAACATTGGTTGATCATCATTGTTGGTCGAAGACGATGATTTTAATAATATTTTTAATTTGTATTTTTCAATTTCTTGTAATATTTCAATAATTTTTTCTAAACTATCCGATGAACGAATATGTTGACGTTTAAAATCAAATTTAGGATCGAGTTTGTGTACGAGATTTCGAAAATCTTCTCTATTTATGTGTGTCATTAATTTTCGAGGTGATGCACCTAACATTTTAGGAACCATTCAAAAATGATATTTTTCTCTGTAGAGAGTGGGAGGGAAGTGCCATGAGGTGGGGAGGTAACTTAAAAAAAGGAATGCTTTTGTCTTTTTGATCGAAACAGATATGCAAATACCTTTCTCTTCCCTTTGAATCGAATTTTTTTGCTGCTGGACGAGCATGAACGATGACAAGGTCGATTTCGAACTTCTGAAAAAGTTTCTTCCACTTTTCTGAAAGGTAGAAAGTCAAGTTTTGGGATCAAAAATTTAAATTTCAAGAATGCATAAAAGATACAAGACTAGACTTCCTACTTCATAGAAATTCCGAATATCACATTTATTCTGGCATTAGACGTTCTTTCAACGGTAGTTGCGGCAAATACCGACCAAAAACCGCCTGCTTTTCCGTATTTTTCAATTTTTACAATGTTTCACTCTTTTTTTCATCCTTTTGAAATCACTATTTGATAGAACAAAACGTTATATCTGCAGTAAAAGTTGGATCAAGCTCCTCTTAATATACAATAATAAACGCGGGAATATAAATCCAAAGTTATGTACTGTTTTGGGTTCTATTTCGATCCTTAGCGTGAAGCCAAAAAATCTTTATGAACGGGTTTGAAAAGAGAAGGCATTTTTTACGCATTTCTGATACTTTGCCGTAATTTCAGACAGCTTTCTGGACTGATGGTACAGCTGAATTTGAGAAATACATTTTCTCTGGATTTTCTGTGTGAAAATTTGATTGTTTTCAATTTTAAACGTGGTATTTATGGTCAGCGTTAAAAACCTGTACGTATTTCGCATGATTTTGGAAAAATTCTGGAAAATAGTATTCGAAAAATTCTGAGCGGTATCAAAGAAGTCAAAAACCTCATATCAAAATTCTTTGAAACTATGTATTGATATATACAATGAATAAAACCACAAATGCTTAGGGAAAATTTTCTAGTTATCTGTCCTGTGACACAACGTTTCTGCGAACGACATTACCCCGACTCTTCCATGAATTTTTCGTAGTACACATTTGGGTATTTTTCGGCACGTGGGACGCGGAGGTGCTGGCAGTTTAGGAGTGAGTTTGAAAAGTAGTTTCACATTTCGTGATGCGAAACTGTGTTACATAATGACTATTCACCACGTAACTTCACTCAGGTTTCACGTCGTTCGCTGAAATGTCGATGTATTTATCTGCTCATCTCCTTTATATCAAGTAGAAAAATGAAAATTATGAAATATAATACCAATATTCCACTAGTAATTCCTACATTTCGTTTCTAAAAAGATGTTTTGTATCACAGTAAATGTCCTACTTGTAATCCCCGATATAAGTGGATCGATTCGTCTGTTTAGCTTATACGTTTAGCCATATTGTAGTGGCAGTAAACTGTGCAACAACGCAGAACATTATTTTTGATCAACTTTGCTGTCAAGTTATGAAAAACGATATAAAAAACAACTTTTAAGCTCCTGCTTTCTCTGAGACAGATAGCTCATGAGCAGTTTTACATGTAGACAAAAGAAACTGACAAGTTTTATGACCATTATCGAACAACATAAACGCAAATTTCTAATTAGTATAGCCAATCACGTATATCTCAATAAAAGTTCCATTAAATCGCTAAAACATGTTTTTGAGAAGACGAGGATATCATAGACTGAAAATTTTGCAACTTCCCTAGAATATACAGCTTTGTACAGAATGTTCCTCTAAGCAAGGCCGTATGATAGGTTATAAATCCTCATATTAGGTTATTGGTAGGAACTCAACTTAAACAGAAGGCCAATAATCTATACTAATAAAAGAAAAAGACAAAGCCTCTCACATATACATAACACGTAATCTGCATGCCCAGATCTTACGATTAGTACTAATAGCATAGCAATAATTTTAAGTTCAATACTAGTGCTCACGACCCAATTTAAGATCACTACTAATACCATACATTTTCAAAACCAAAACTAGGGTAGAGGAGTGGCGTGGTGTCAAAAGTCGATAAAATCTCTGCACATTTGACTATAAACTTCGACTCCTTTCACTGTTAAAGTTTAGGAGAGAAATTTCACAACAGGATGTATCTGCTGGCTGACATATTATGTGGATAGGCCTTTAAGATGAAATTTTTGACAATAATCAAAGAAATCGGGTGCTGGATAATAGGGACAGATAACTTTTTTTTGTTGTTGAGCAAAAATTAATATTTCATTCAAATCAAACACATCATTGACTATCATCAAATGTTTTAAATCTGATTCTGAACATAATCCATTCCGTATCTGTTGTAAAATATAATTTTTCTCACTTAGTTCTACTTCATCTAGTATTTTTCTACTTTCATCATCGCTGAGTTCATTGACTAATAAATCTTCTTCTTGTTCATGCCGTTTTTGAATTTGTTGTAGTTTTCGTCGAATTGTTGTATGTAGTTTTGTGCCGAGAAGAAATCTCGGATACAAATATTCACTGATTTTGATGAGATCCGTTTCAGGTTGTAATAATGCGATATTTCGCAAAGGTTTTCCATGTTGATCGGCATAGCAAGAATGTCTTGTAATGAAATTTTGAACAAACAATGTGTTGTCGAAGAGAAACGGTTGGAGTAAACACTGATTTAAATGATCAAAAAATTGATTAAAATCAAAAAATTGAATGTTTTGATCATTGTTGTCGTTAGACGAGATATTTAATGTAGCAAAATACATTGTAAAATGACGATAATAAAATGTAAACTGTGATTCTTACTGTATCTTACATATAGCTAGAAATTATTCTATATTATTATGTGTTTCTTTTCGAAATGTTATGCTAATATTAAAAAGAGAATGCACTCAACTGTGAATATTCGCACTTGTAGTAAACGTGTGTATCACGTGATTGATGAGAGCGAATATGTATATAGAGATGAAAACATAAATAAGTAAAATAACTAAAACAAAATATATCAAGTCCAAAGAAAATCTGCCAAGTTCTTTATGGATTTATTCCTTTCTCCAGTAAAGGTTAATCAGACGATGGAACATTTGTGTATACACAAATGTTCGACATCGCTCAATTGATGGAAAGGACTAATAATTTACAAATGCATAATGAAGTACCATCGGATTCTGAGCAGTGGAAAAGTCAAAAAGAAAACATACCAGAACAAAAGCCGGCATTAAGCAGCTTAAATGAATCCGATTTTGGTAATAAATACTAAACAGTAGAAAGGTCAATGTACTCATGTTATTTGTTTGTCTTCTTTTTAGGTAAAATTCCTGTCCAACCCACAACACCATTAAATTACGCACCACCGTCGGCCGTTATCAATAAGTCAGCGTCAGCTCCTTCAAGAAGAGCTATCTTAACTTCCTGGGACTGATTCATCACTATCGCGTACCTAAATATGCACTTTCTAATTATTACTTGTAAATTAACCGCTTGTCTTATCTTCATAGTTGAAATTCAAGCCTTACACACAATACAAGTTAGTCCAAGAGAACAGCAGTCTCCCGCGTCAGCTGCTTCGAAAAAAGACATGGGATCAAATTCAGATCGTCGATCTATCCATATCACCCCCTTGGCCAGCACCATAATT